ACGCCAGTGCCTGCTGCCCCCGAGCGCTGCCGGCTGGGTGGGGTATGGGGTGGGGCTGCTCCGGTGCTCACTGATGTGCAGGGAGAGGCCAGGGCAGCTGTGCCATGGGGCAGCAGGGTGGAGTCAGGGGTCCCGGCAGGAACCTTGGCCCGACCACTGAGTTCAATGTGGTGTGCGGGTGTTTCCTCTGCATCAGTGTCCCCATTAGGGAAACGAGCGAGCAGCGTCTCCCCAGTGCGCTTCTGTGAAGAGTTCATGGAACGGGCAGTCAGGTACCAAGTGGCACCATTAATAATAACAAATGGTTATGGAAGGAAATGAGTGAAGGAGGGCCCAGCCAGTGCTTGTGGGACAAAGACAGGCAACAAAATGCACTTTCCAGGTTTGCCTGTGCACCCTCCTTGCTCTCCCAGTTCCCCATCTGATGCCCTTTCTCACCCACTGCAGGGGCATCGGAAGGCACCCTGGGCAGATGCCCCCCTAGATGCCCCGGCCTGTGCTGCTGCTGCGGAGGAGGAGCGGGAGCTCCAGTACGCCTCCCTCAGCTTCCAAGGGCTGAGCCCCCGGGAGCCTCGGGGCCGCAGGGACTCCAGCATCTCCATGTACGCTGTCATCTGCAAGTGACAGGCCCCTCCCCGCCCAGGTTTCTGCGCGAGTGAGAGTGAGACGTCAGGGAGCGTTTCTAGGCCAGCCACTCTCCCTGTCACCAGGGTCCAAGCCAGAGGTCGGGGGGAGTCTGCTCCCCTGACCTCCAAACTCAGCTCCCACTGCAGCCCCAGCCTTTGAACAGGAGACTTTACTCCTGGCTCCTCCTCTGTCAAGGCACAATAAACCTGACTCACGGGGCATTGTGCGCCGAGGGAAGCGGTTCCCATAAGGCACCCAGGGCTGGGCCTGCAGAGCGCACCTCCCTGCCGCTGCCTCCCACGGCCCCCACCCGGTGTGCCGCCCAGGCCCGAACACCCTGGCCAACGGGGCTCCTGCAGGCGGCTCTCCTGGGCAGCTCCGAAGACCCAGCTGAGGCTGTCGCTGGCGCCCACAGGGCTCTCCTGCCTGCTCCTCACCCCCGGGTACTGATCACCTTCGCATGTTGCTCCTCCCGGATACGGCATTTCAGTGTAACTACTCCATGCTCATCTGAAATAAATGCTAAGTGTGCAAACTGCATTTTTCTCTTCAGTTTTACTTTTCTTTCTTTTTGGGGAGGGGCGGGCAGGGTCTCGCTGTGTAGTTCAGGCTGCCCTTGAGATGGCCTGCCTTGACCCGCAGCAGTCCTGCCGCCATCCCCTCGTGTTAGGATTATAGGTGTATGCCGCTATGCCTAGCTTCCAATTCTTTTCTTTTTTTTTATGACTTGGTTCTTTAACTAGCACCTCCTTTTTGCAGGATTTGCATGGAAAACTCCTTGTAGGTGCTGTCCACATCCTGTGTGACACATTCACACTGTTATGGTTTGAACGACAGGCACATCCGACTACTTTGCACTTGTCTGCACTGAACACTCCTTCATGAGGACGGACAGTGAACATCAGCTCTAAAAGCCAGTCAGTCTCCGTGTACCCGCAAAAACATGGCTGTGCCGAGCCCTGCTCCCGGACCTGCCCACAGGAGGCGTGAACACGTTTTCCCGTTCCTTAGGACGTGATGCGTCTCTTTATTAATGAAAACAGTGCCTCCAAACCAAAAATGAACATTGTCAACTTTTATCCCCTTTTTCACATCGTGCTAGAGTGATCAGAACATCTGCATGAAAGTACCACTTTCTTGGAGGGATAAAATCTTTGCCAGAATATAGGCACAGCTAGTGCTACAATAACTATGCATGTGCAGAAATCAGGAATTTCCCCTCTTTTAAATGGTATCTGCTCGAGGAATAGCCGTTGCACTTAAAGGGAGGTATTTTCCATCAATCTTTTTTTGTCTTTTTTTTTTTTTTTGTGGTACCGGGGATTGAACTCAGGACCTTGCACTTGCCAGGCAGGCGCTTATGCCACTGAACTATATCCCCAGCCCCTTTTTTTGTCTTTTTGAGACAGGGTCTTGCTATCCGCATGCTCTCTGGCTGTGTTGGGAAAGCTCATACTCACAGCTTCCTGAGGCCAGATAGTATCTGGTAAAGATGGTATACAAAATACAGGCATGCAGGTGTAAAACAGGACCACAGCTGGTTTCATTTAAAATGCTACATTTAAGCTGGGACTGGTGGTGCGCACCTGTAATCCCAGCACTCAGGAGACTGAGGCAAGATGACTGCCACAAGTTTGAGGCCAGGCTGGCCTTGAGCTCACTTTGTAGTCCAGGCTGGTCTCCACTCACAATAATCCTCCTGCCTCAGCCTCCTGAGTGCTGGGATTCCAGGCGTGCGCCACCAAGCCTGGCTCATCAACCCTTTCCTGAACAATTAGTTAGGCAAGAAAAATAACAAAGGGAGAAGTCATGAAGAAAGGCAAGCAAGTCATTTATAGCAAAATGGATGCACCTTGGGACCATGTTAGTGAAACAGATCAGACACATAACCTCAAATAGCACACTGTTTGTCTTATATGAGAAAACCAAAGTATAAATAAAGAGCAAAATAAAAACTAGGTAATAGAAAGTTGAAAGGTAGATCTTTTGCACAAGGGAAGGGGTCAGGAGATGGAGGGCGGGGTGGCAAGGGTCTGTGGGAAGAACTGTGGTGTGCCGT